AAACCCTTGATTATCTATATTAATAATATATTGAATAAGCACTTCCTCTTTCATTTTTGTAATATTATGATTTTTTGATCGATATTCTGTATAAGAGATAGAACTGTTCATTCTGTAGATAAGTGTGACCAAAAGGGTATAAACAGGACTCCGATTGTGTACTTAGAATCTACAAGTGAAGAGCTATGTAGGATGCTAAAAGGAGGACTATATATACAGGTATTGGGAGCCATAAGGGCTAGGCCAAAAAGGGTGAAAGAGTCCTAGGCGTAAGATGCCTAGGTCTAGAGCTATAGAGCTAGGGCTCTAAGCTGTGAAAGGAAGGTCCAAAAGAGCCGTCATATCATACTATGTATGTAGTATGAGCCAGTGGGCGGAAGAGAGCCGTCTGTTCCGTCACAATAAGCATTATATATAGTATATTGTATAGCTTGGAAGCTTTTCGATAACTTAATTTTTTGTCTTTTTGAATAGCTTCAATAGCTAAAAGTATTCGATCTTCTTTATTGTTCGATTGCATCGTAGATTGTTGATAAATCGCGTGTTGAAGTTGAAAGTTGTAAATTGAGGTAAAAGTGATCCATATACTGATATGATCCACGTACTGATAAACCACGTTATATTAAATAGAATTTCTATTTTAAAGTCATTTTAATAAAGATATTATAGATTGAAATTCGAATTTGAAATTGAAATTGAGATAAAAGTTGATAAGGAGTTAAAATCACGATTTCTTTTTTAGATACACATTATTAAATCAGGTGTAGGTGTATTAAATCAAGCCACAAGTCACGAGGGCTTTTGATTTTGATATACCCAAATCAAAAAGAAAATTTAGCTTCAATCGTATTAACTATACAAATATCACCTTGTTTCTACTGGGATATAGATTTTCATCTTTGAGTGAGGATTCTTTCTACTTATTAGTTCTCGGTGTCTATCTGGACTAATACTCTGTCTTTGTAACCAGATTACTGGGAAAATTCTATCACCAAAAACGAGAAGATTTAACTCTTTATACCACAGCAACGCCATCTCCATACAGAGCCACATCAGCATAACGCTTTCTGATTCGTGGCATAAGGGACAGTCACTTACTCTCACTACCGTTGCACACTTTCACTTACCCACGTCTTCGGGCTTGTTGGTTTCTTGTTCGTAACGCCGAACCTTTGGCTTTGTCGATCTTGCGCTCGCAGGTCTTCTACGTTGGAGGACGATATTCTGATCATTAATCCAAGAATGACTGATTGGAAAGATTCCAAGATAGACGGTGATACAATAATTGTTGATCCAGATAGGGATGTAGTTCTTATTCTTGATTTAAATAAGAATGTATCCGATGTCGTCGTTGATGCTACATCAACTGATTCTCCGAGCAAGGACATATCGTCAACTGATTCTCCGAGCAACGATACATCGTCAGCCGATTCGTCATCCATTCATTCGACAGTTAACAAGTCTACCACGACTGATTCAAAGAAGATCCGCTTCGTAGTTTCCTCAAAACACATGTCGCTCGCCTCACCAGTTTTCAAAGCCATGCTACAAGGCAACTTCCAGGAATGCCTCGAGCTGAAAGAAACTGTTAACATTGAGATACCACTTCCTGATGATGATTCCACTGCATGGAAGATCTTGATCAATCTCATTCACGGTCGAAATAAATCCGTTCCACTACACCCTGCATTGCAAGTTGTCACGCAAGTTGCTGTCCTGGTCGATAAGTATAGAATGCATGAGATTGTTTATATGTTCACTCCAGTTTGAATAGCTACACTACCATACCCACCTGAGGGCTGGATAGAGAGAATCTGTTGGATATGTATAACATGGGTCTTCGACCTGACAATAGAATTTCAGGAAATTACCCGAGTTGTCCAATGTGAAGGTCTTGACCCCTTTGGAGAAACTCTCAAGCGCTACAATTTGGATCATTTACCAATTCCACAACCGGTTACTGGTAAGTCTTCGACTTCTTGTATAGCTTAGATATCGATTTTCTTTAACTTGTATCATCAGCTAATCGAACTAAAGACAGACTCGAAGCATCACGCCAAAACGCAATGGATAATGCTTTTGAAATTCTTAGGAGCACCATATTACGATACCAAAATGAGAGTTCTAACTGCGAAATTGACGCTCACCCTAATAAGCTGGTTGACGGGCTAGAATCTCATAGAAAATGGTGCGATATGTTGGTACATGCGAGCCTCGTGGAGTCTGCGACAAAGCAATCGATATTTCCCATCCCAAAGGCTCCGTACGATTGTGTATCTTTCTTGTCTTTGCAATTGAGTATACGCCAGCTCAATATTGTTACAGCTTGTTACATTTTGAAAATGCGCACTCTTGACAAATATGGAATTCACGAAACTCTGATTGCATCAATCAACGCCGCTGGAGAAGATTTAATTGGACTACGAATAGATAGCCTAAAGAAGCAGCCAATACAAACTCATTGTCCAACTCAATAGCACATAGAAACCATTGGTTATATGCATGCAATTAACACGAACTTGTCGAAAATCTTCACTTTCTAAGACTAAGACAGTTAAGACTGCGCAAAAGATAGCCGTGGGGCGGATGATTGGTCTGGCGGAGGATCTATAGATTTTCTGCTTATAGGGCAGATTATTGAAAAAGCTCAATAAGAACCTATTGGGCATTTGTAAATAATCTATAGTCATGAATTTTTATATTTTTTATAATACTAGTATTAGTATAAATTTTATAATTATATAATTTTATATTAATTTTATACTAATTTTTATTTTAATTATAAAAATTAATAGGTTTATGAAGTATCTATAGAGCTCTATAGATAACGGATTTCTTCTCTGCAGCCTAACTTAGTCTTAGTCTTTCTTTTATAGCGCTTTAATAGTACTCATATAGATATCGAATCTGCAGATTGGGAAGCACGTGAGATACCTCTCAAAAGTAGGCTTCAAAGTGTGTACCGTTGGTTTTATGGAATGAAGATCTTCGGTATTGATGCCTCCCGAATCTAGCTCCATCAACCGTGCTGTCGCTAATATCAGATCTCAGTTGATGATTTATTGCTCGGATTATTTAAAGTCTTGATGGCTTTTCATTTACGTTTTGAGATATTCTGGGTGTTATCGTGGCCCTATAAATAAATATGCGAGACATTCAAAAGAACCTCCAAGATACATTGTAAAGTTCCAATTAGTGATACTTTTTGATGGCTTGATGATATATTACTTCATTCGGTATATAGTATAAAATAAATAAATGTATTCCTTCTGTGTTTTATTAAAATTGAATTCATGGACTTGATATGTTATCGTCATTTCTGAGGATTTGAAATAATTAGCCTTTGTGAGACTCACGAAAGAAAATTAGCTGGTCTAATACTCTTCATACCACCAGAAAGTTCAGAATTGAAGGGGATTTCACCACTTTTAGTACAAGTTAAACTTAAACTCATACTTGGATCATTCTAATTTCAGAACCTCTAGTAGATACGGAGTATGTTACAACTGAATGGCGCCTAACGAGGGCTAAAGTGAGCGGTAGTTGATAAGTGATAGGTGCAATACGTTCACTGATAGTATTCTTCTTTCAAAAATAGTGAAACTATACCAATGAAGTCTATATCCTCAATTCGTACGCTCGAAATATCAAGGAAAATTTATATTTGAATGTAACGGCGATGGAGAGAACTAGAGCTCGCTTAAATTGCCGTTTTCGGATTGAGGCTGTCTAGTCGATGTACTAAGGTTGCCCGGTGTATATAGGGCAGCTCGCTACCTTCTGGTCTCCTACTTTCTGACCTAACCGTAATTCTCTAAATGGGGTGTCGGAGAAGGACTTTTCGATAATTCGTCTTATTATTGGTCAAATTTGTTATTCTATTGAGGGTTTTACATCTGAGAAATTGATAGGTGGAATATTCTTGTCAATTTCCTTTTGCTTCTCTGCCCTTTCCAAAAGAAGATGTCGAAACGTTCGAGGTATTTGTGATCGCGATAACATCACCACAGAGGTCAAACTATGTGTAATTATCGGAAAGAGAAACGGAATGCCGATGTAGATGAAGAAGAGAAAGTCTTTTATGGACTGTGTAAAGGCAATAGTGTGATCGATAGCTGGTAATGGGAATTTTTCAGACCACAAGTCCAAAGATAAGAAATTTCGCATTCTTAAGACAATTTGGAATATCAAATATAATCAGGAATACGTTATTCAGAACGAACGAATCATCAAGCTTGTAAAAAAGTCTCTGAAACCTCCTTCCCCCTCAAGCGAAGATTCAACCCATTAAAGCTATGGAAAATCTAGTTAAGGACCCACACCCTCACTTCCATATCTTGTCTCATCCCTTCTATATATTCAAATGCTTACATACTCCACCTTCAGAAGCAATCGACGCAGGTCGAGAACAACTCATCGCATCCTCCTTCAAAGTCATGACCGACCTAATCGACGACCTCCAAACAAAAGAGCTATGCCCATCTAGTTTCGTAAGTCGTTCTGGCAAACACGATGAGGCGCCAGAAGTCACAGCCATCTATCGCAACGAATGCGATTCCACGATGCTGGGCTCTCTCATGAGAGGCGCCAGAGCAACGGGACTATGTCCGTGCGAAATTCCCCCTTTTGATGGAATGTCGCTTCCGTCATTGGTCTGGGAAATGAAAGAAAGATTAAATTCATATCGTATCGCCTTGTCAATGGACTACACAGCCAGATCGGGACGGTAATGAATTTGTGAAGGGTGGTTGCCATTCAAATCAGGAATGGAGCACACTTATAGATGACGTTGAACGTATTGGGTTTTCCCCTCAAGGACTTCATCTGAAGGATATCAAGCGTTCTTGATATCCATCTGGCGATCGTCTAGCTGTGAAGACAATAGTTCGTTACAACAAGTAGTCAGCAGTCTGGTATACACGAGAGATTATTAGTGACGTTCTGAGAGTGGCATAAATGAAGCTCGCTAGGTCAGAAAGAAAGGATTTCCGAGAGGAGGAATCGGGTACCAGAGGAATCTTCCAAAAGTTGTCACATTATTGATGAACCACCCTTCCTACAATCCACCATTTGTCAACAACTTTTGTTTTATATATTTTAGGATGATTTTCCACGAAGAATGAGCGAAGAAGAGGCAAATACTTATTATGAGCTGATTTACTTATTGTATTATTAACGAATGAATATAATAGTAAATTTATATCTCTAACCCTAAAACCGTGACGTTAATCAAATAGCTACATACATTTTCGAAAAACCATTGCTTTCTATATGCGATAATCAATCACTTCGATCCGTGGCTATGAGTCAAAAATCTAGGTATCCGACGGTACTACTCGAGCATTTCAAATGAGCTCTCTAATTCTGTAAAACCTCTAGACGTTTAGGTATGGGAATACAATCACGTGTCTGAAATGATCGCCTTTAGGCTTAGTATTGTATTAGTGCACGCTAAGACTAAAAGCCACTAATTTAGGCTAATTTAATAAACTAATCAAAAAACCATATCAGGGTGCATTAATGGTTCCAAATTGGAGGGTGAAGCTATTAATTATCTCTATCTCTCTCCCCTTTCCTTTCCCTCGGTTATAACGAACAGCATAGCACAGCACTCAAAAGCAGATACCAAACACTAGCCTTTAGTCAAAATATTATATTGAATTCATAAACTCGTCACCACCCTTTCATACAATCTTTGACCATCCTAAAAGGAACTCGAAGATCAAAAATTACACCGACTAGGTCCTTCAGGTTCTCCAGGCTCTCTAGGTTCTCCATTTCCCTTAACTCAAGAATCGAATAATACAATTTGAGCGCCCTGCCATTATTTCATGCCTCGTTTTCCACCCTTTCAACATTCAACGCGAAAAACAACCCCAGGATTAGATCGCAGAAGGTTGAGTAACCTGAGTAGTCCCAGCCTCACTTGGAGCATAAGTAGAATTCATCTGACCCGTCGTAACAGAAGTTCCAGTAACACTAGGTGCATAACTTCCTGGAATTTGTTGTCCGCTACTAACTCTGCTCTCGCCCGCTTCAGATTGTTGAAGTCCATCGTGACGATATCCATCTTCAGTGCCAACAATAGATCCCTCAACATTTTGGCCATGTTGATGTTCAACACCCTCCTGACGCACCGCACCCAAATCGAGGTTATCATGTGATTGGACATCTTCCAATTCCAATTGCCAATCTCGAAGATCATCTTCGGCATCGTTGAGGATTTGTCTGGCTTGTTCGCCATGCTCGAAAGCTGGTCGAGTGTTTCCTGGTACGATTGGTGTATCATCGAGAAGATTGAGGAGACGGCGTCCATGTCGAGCAAGGATAATTTGTTTCTCTGCTCTTTCGATTGTCGCTTCAAATTCAGCGGCATATGCTTCCTTGATTTTCTTTCTTGTCTGTAGTTATCTTGTCAGCGTACTCATTGGCTATTATCCATTAGTGATGGACCAAACTTACAATATTTGTCAATTGAGCCTCAGCAACCAAGAATTCAGCTTCCGCTCTGACCAACTCTTGCTCCAAAGTAACCAGAGTAGCACTCTCAGGTTCCTTGGCCTTTAATTTGGCAATCTGGTCTTCCAATTTCTGTTTATGATCCCGACTTGGCTGGACACTCTTTTCAGTATTTCGAATGGCCTTCAATATCCCTCTTGAATCATCCAAACTATGTGCATAATAATCCTCCTGATCCCCCATTTCACTCAACAAAACGCCCACCTTATCCGAGATTTCCGAAATGCCATCATCTTCTGTGGATTCACCCCATTCGGAAAGTTGAGCAGCGATAGAAACGCGCTCTTTGCCTGCGGTCTCATATGCTGTGATGAGATTATTTTCGGTCTTGATTAGTTTGTAGAGTTTCTTGGAGAGATCTGGATGGTTCATTCCGCGAAGGGAAGAGAGGCTAAAATGTTTCGAGGTGGATGCATCTTTGGATGAAGATTTTCCACCCGAGGAGCGAATAGATAATGCTCGGTTCCTGACAACAATTATGTTAGTAATAATGATATCTACCAGATGATCTGCGCAATTGAAAATGGGCCGGATGCCACGACTGCGAAGGTGTAGCAAAGGGGATTCACGAATGGGTGCGAACAAATGCTTAAGAGGATTGTTTTTCTCCCCAGATCCAGAGCTTCTATTGGTATTTCCTCGCCGTAACATATTCATGACATACCCTTTGCGCCGAAGTAAAAGTAATGACAGAGAAAAGAGTGAAGGGGTAGAAATAATGTAACTTACATTTTGGTAGTTGTGTGGAATCAGGAAAGGACTTTATGTCTGTTGGATTCTGAAAGCGATCAGCTCTTTCCCTTCATTAAAGATAGACTTCGCCATTGCAGGCCAAAAGGTAAGAGCGACTTGATAACTTCAAAGTCATCGCCGACCGAAAGTGACTTGTGATGAATAAATCAGAAAGGACAAACCTTGCAACAGTGTGTGTCACCTCACAGCTTGATAGTTGTGGTATTTTATCTACTGAAATTTCAAGATATACTCCGCAGATCTCTAGAGTAAGCTGATATAAATTGATATAAATTATGTGTTGGTGATAACAGACAATCAAAGAAGCAAGGGAGTTTCTTTATGGCAGGTTGGTTGTTCTATTGGCCCACTATTGACGTTGACGTTGACGTCATAGTTTCACATCGATCTGAATTGATGATATGGCCAAGAACATTAAATTGAATATGAGGTTGGGCTTGGGCTGGGCATCTCTTTATTTTGGATGATTGAATGACTAAGCTTTCTCGTATTTGATGCCCAGTGGGTAATGATTGGTGTGCAACGTCGGCCACACAAGATACATCCATTATACATCATAATTCTTGTACTAATATGATACCGGTATGTGCTTCAAATCGAATCATCAATTTGCAATTCTTTGACTCATTGCACAACTCATCCTCCTGGTATTATAACAACCACCCAAGGAATCCAAAACCAAAGTAACACAGGAGAATCACACATACACACACACACACACAACTATTGTCGTAGAACATATAACTGCACACCTTGCTCACCCATTCCAAATCATCCAATACGCCAGCCAGTGTTACATAATACATCTCATCGCGATCAATCATTCCAATCATAACAAACATGAAGCCATAAACGAAAAGAGTTATGACATCTCAATAATGTCTATATGTCGAGCTGCGATAACTGGTTTGGCTTGCTCGAGGACTCGCAGTGACGTAGGTTCTGCTTGCTGGTCTGGTTGATCTCACCGAAGTGACGGAGATTCGTTGAGGGTGGTGATGAGAATGGTGAGAGGAATGATGGTGATGAGATCGACTTGAGACGGGACGAGGAGCATAAACGACTTCTCGAAGGATGGGTTCGCGGTAATATTTTGTTTTGCTAGGCCAGCACATTTTGAGGATTTGCTTGGATGAGGCTGAGAATTTTTGAAATGTTTCGGAAGGGCTTGAAATGACTCTTGAATTCTTTGATCGAATGTAGACAGTTGATAACTTCTTTAGATTGAAGGTATATAGATGTTGATGAATTTGATGGAAAACCTTGCAAAATACCATGATGATGGGGGGATGCTTACACTTATAAGTTTCTCTCGCCATCAATAATCTCTCAATCAGGTATTGAGATGTCATGTAATCCTGGGCAAAACATAGCATCAGCCAAGTCCATGTTGCATATGAAGATTGTAACGTCCTGGCCAATACCCACTGATATCACTCCACCATCGCTTGACCCCCCAGCATGGAGTGAGAACCCTCAGCCTCCACCGCATTCGATGTCATGATCATAGGGTTGAGCCTCAATTGATGCAGTCATCGGGTAACATGAGCAAGAAAAATAATGCTCGAATAAGCACTTATAATTATTCCTTTCCCGAAATTCATCGACGAGGGGCATTGCAATATTGCCCATTTCCGAGTTCAAATGTTTCGCGCCTCCAATGTAAACTTACAATGAAATCAAATCACTTTGACGAAAATTGGATGCGTTCAACTTTCCATTTTTATTTATCGCGATTATGTATAATAAGTACCTTGTAACAGATCAACTGGAGAATATAGTCTCCTGTTGCAGTTCGGAATCTTTACCATTTTGATTTCTGTGCAGGTTGATGAGTGAGTGGGTTGGTGGGTTGGTGAGGTTCAGGGCTTTTTCTCGCTAACCTTACCTTGCGCTTTCAGATTTCCCTCGACCTTATTCCTCGAAAAGTCTTGGGACAAAGTTTAAATAGTACCATGGTTCTTATATCTCGAAGTATAGACCTAGGTTTCTTGAAAGAGTGCTGATGTGGAGTCTTCAGAATTAAGCAGGCTGAAAGGGCTTGAGAATCATGGAATCAAGAATCTAAGAACCGCGATGAACTTGGTCCAAAAATAATGATATTTCTACACGGTTTAGACCCTCCCGGATGGTGAAAATGCTTGCAATGGTTATGGGAGCGGGTATCAAACGCGCAATTAAGAGACCAAGGGGTCTTGAGGTGGAAGAGGAGTGAGAGATAAAAGGGGGGGGGGGGATAAAAAAAAGTATGAAACAATGTTCGCTTGCAAAAGATCCTTTTGGAGATTGGCTGGAGATGAGGACGAGGACGAGGAAGATGATAACGACATGAAATATCGAAGTATGTCAAGATGGTGATAATGATATCTACATTCTTGTTCGAAATCGCGAATGCGAATGCGGGCTTGGTACTATCACACTAAGCAAGTCGGACCAATCAGAAACCAAGAGATACGATATGGGTTTAGACATCTATATATATGTAAGATATCTCTCCGAACTTCCTTTGTCCGTTATTCTGATAGCAGATCGGAATCTTTAAAGTCCGCAATTGCCACTCCAGTCATGATAAGATGATCATATATCACATTCCGTCAATGGAATCGGAGAAGATTTATGCCGAATGAATGTCACGGTACTCGTAACTCTTCATCAATTCTTTATACATTGCTTCCATTTCTTTTCGCAAATTTGATTAATATACCCATCATCTCAACTCAATACCCATCTCATCTGCCCATCACCTCAGACTTCTCTTTACTATGGTCTCTATCACCACGGTTCGTGCCCACAATGCGCAGCTCGTCCGTGATCAATCTCTGATCGCAGTCTTCATGGGCGGCACAGCTGGTATCGGGGATCATACAATTCGAGCTCTAGCCGCCACTCACGCCCAAAAAAGCAAGAAAAGACTCCAGGTGTTCATTGTCGGTAGAAATAAAGATGCTGCTATGAAAATTGTTACAGAATGTAAGGAAGTGTGTCCAAGTGGACAATTCCAATTTGTACAAGCTAAGGATTTAAGTTTGTTAAAGGATGTAGATCGGGTTTGTGAGGAGATTATAGGGATATTGAACGGGAAGGGCGAAAGCGGGACGTATGTGAATGGAGAGTGGAATGGGAGGAAACCGTGGATTGATTTGTTGGTTATGACGCAGGGTGTTCTTAGATTTTCGAGGAATTGTATGTCATATCCATTTTTGTACTCCCAAAAAACCATCTCACACAAAGCAATAGAAAGCAAAGAAGGTCTCGACTCCACTTTCTCCCTAATTTATTACTCCCGCATGCGCTGCATAACTCAGCTCCTTCCTCTGCTCATTGAATCCCCCATCTCCGCCCGCGTCTACGCAATCATAGTCTTCTACGCTACGCATCGTCTCATGTATGTTATATGACTACGTTTTTCATGGAAAACATCGCAGAACAGTATCCGGGGAAAATTGCCCTTTTTCATATTTATCCGGGCATTGTATTGACGAATATGGTTGATCGTGGGACGTTACCGAAATGGTTTGTTTGGTTGTGGAAATACGGGATTGAGCCGCTTGCGAAAGTTTGGGAAACGAAGGGGAGTGATTGTGGGGAGAGGATCTTGTGGCTTACGAGTGAAAGGTTTACTCCTCGAGTTTTGGGTGATGGAGAGGAGAGAAGAGACGAAGATCATCAGGGAAATGTTGAGGTGGCGATAGCGGTGAATGGGACTCTGGGTGGTGGTATGTATAATGTTGATTCTGTTGGGGAGACTTTCCCTACACCGAAAATGTATGGGAAGTTTAAGAAAGATGGGGTAGGTGAGGTTGTCTGGAACCATACTATGGATGCTTTTAGGGTGATTGAGGGTGGTGGTGTTTTCACTGGATGATTAAGTTTGAGGCATGAAAAGGCTACTGGTCCCAGCCGTTTTGTATTGCATTATGTCTATACTCGAGTATTGGGTAACATGGTGGAATTCTTTGATGTTTTTGAATTTTAATACACAATCATTGTCATTCGCTGTTATTCTGGGTCTGATTACAATAAACGGGTTTATCATTTTCTCGAGTAGCAATTTTGATGAATATTATAAAAGGATTGAGATCACAAAAGAGATTCAACAACTCTGATAAGCCCATGTTTGGATGTCATTCTTAGCAAAAGCACAAAGAGGTTCAGTAATTCGTGGATTGGACTGTAGTTATGACTATTAGAAGCCAGGTGCACAAATCAGGGGATACTCATCTCAGGGAAAAGTCAGTGTTTTCAATGCTTTGAGTTAAATCATTGTTTACTACAAAGACAAACAATAGTGATCTAGCCTGAACTCATCACCTTGTCGCGTCGCGTCAGGTCGGTTGACTCGCCTCGTGTGAGTCAATTAGTGAATATTAGTGCTAGATATCAAGAGATTGACTGATACAACATCGATCTATATTCACAACTTCACATAAACAGACAGTGGCTGTACTAAAGTTCTTCGCCATTGTACTTAAACTCAGCTGGTATTATCAAGATACAAGTAATCAAATCCTTCTCAATCACATCTTTACTACCAAAATACTGATTCCTCTTCCTAGATCAGCAGAAATCAAACAGCATAACAATGGCCCCAACAATCGTCGCTGATCCAGATGGAGACACAATTCTCCTACTCGACCCCGAAGGAAGAGACCAACCCGGATCTCCTTCATACAAAAGACACATCCTATCGCTCCTCAAAACATCTTACGCTCGCCTCACCTATCTTCAAAGCTATGTTGAGAAACACATTCAGCGAAGGTACCACACTCTTAACAATCGGCCAGGTGAAAGTTTCACTCCCCGAAGATGACCCTACCGTTATGACGAACCTTGTCTTCCTGATCCATGGTCGCCATGGGCACCCTGACATCGATCATGTTATCACTCTAGACTCTCTCAACAAAGCCGCTATTCTGGTGGATAAATATCACATGCATGAAGCTGTTGCTTTCTTTACTACAACATGGACCCTCTCTTATTTCAACCGACATGCAATTCGTCTCCATTCATTCCGTGATTTTCCCTTGCTCTTTTGTGTCTCTTGGGTTTTTGAACTCGAGGAGCCTTTCAAGGAGATTACGCGCATCATTCAATATAATACGGTGGGAAGTATCAAGGATATGATGAAGGGTACGGGCATCGATCTTCCTATTCCAGAGGGAGTTATCGGTAAGTACATATCATATCCTCTGTTCAGACGTTCAACTAATACAAGTCTTCCAGAAAAGCTCGAGACAGCACGACTAGCTGCCATCGGAGATACAATCCAAGTCCTCGCCAACTTGATCGCCAAATACCAAGACAACAACGGCATAACCATGTGCAAAGTCGACGGCAACCAACTTCCAGATATCAACCAACTACACATCCACAAAGATAGGTGCGATGCAACGGTCCTCGGTAGTCTCATGAGAGGCGCTACGAAAGAAGGACTCTGGCCCCCAGCTCTCACAGAATCTCTCCGCAATAGTTCCGTCTATGCGGTGAAGCAGAAAGTGGTAGGCGTGGAGTTCACAACTGGGTGTGAAGGTTTAAGGGATTTGTTGCCGTGGCCACAACGTTATGATCCGTATAGGATATTGTCAAGTCATGGGATTAGAGACCAGATGAGAGTTTCGATTGAGGAGGCTGAGGGTCGCTTGAGAGGCTTGGATTTGAAGGTGGAGAGAGAGAGGTTTGTGGGTCCATTGTTGGCACGTTATCGTTAGGTTGGTGTACGTTGCTAGGATGCGGTGCGTGTTTATTATTCAGAGTGGATTGAGGTGTTGGCGGTCGATTTACAAGTCTTCTGATGTTATAATTAAAAGACTGTATCGTGCAGATAGAAGTTGTACACTTGCTGACATCAGGGTATCCAATAGTCCGGACTGCAATCCAACAATAAGAGATTCTCAATTCCTGAATATAACTCAAATATTTATCTTGATTGAAAGAATTGAATATATCAAGAATATTCAACCCATTTCAATTATTTGGAAAAATGAATCGCTTAAATTGTTTTAATTGTTTTTAGAAAACAAAAATCATTCGAACATTGTAATTTCTCTACTCTTAATTGGACTACTATTGGATACTCTGGCTAATATTATAGCTTATACACTCCATACTGGAGTATTCAACAAATTAAGCATACGACCTCAATATTCATACTTTGCTTAATTATGGTTCCTGCTCAACATCGCGCTACTACTCGAGTACTCAGACTATACTTCAGACATTCGGGTGCCGCAAATTATCATACTGGTATAATAGTGTACGCGAAAGCTCGCGATAATATATATAATTCACACTATAAATTTCAACCGTGATATTACACTATAATTGAACTCTAGTTAGTGCTCACGAGAAACATTTTCAGCAAACTAGATTAATCATTTTATCAAAACATTTGATAACATCGTTACCTATCTTGGGGCTATATCATATTGAACGGCAAACATCATAATATAGAACTCCATCTTATAAACGATGACCCGAAAGCATCGTTCATCTCCTTACTAGTACATGAATCAATATCCCAAAACTTATCGAACTCGGTTTATATCAAAAAGATCATTATTTTATTGCTCTAGCTGAAATTAAAATAATTGGCCTATTACTTGTATAGTTGATTGTATTAAAGGAAAGCTATGAAAGAAAGGACTAGGCTAAGTATAGTCTAGATTCTAGAATCACCTAGTGAAAGAAGGAATGGCCTAGAATGATTGGTAAAACTTCCTTCCTCTTGAACTATACTGGGGTGAGTCGAGAGTGTATTTTACATACTCTTTTGAGCTAACTGAGTAGTATGACATAAACACCTATAAATCGATGCGTCAAAATGTACTCTGTAAGATCTTTCCATCGTTGAAACTTGAATGACCTACTCCAAGAATCAAGTGGCCATATTAAGAGAGAACATGGACGGGGGCTATATTCTCAATGATTGTGGAAGATAGCTTTTTCCGAGACCCAAGATTCTTTACAAAGATTTTTCTGAGGTCATTACATAAATACGTTTGTATATGTATTCGATCTATGACGCTCACGATATGTCCATATTGCCTACATGAAGGACTTTGCATATATGCAGGTCAATCATGAACCTTTTCAAAGGTTTTGGGACACCTTGACCAATTCTTTCAGGGATCTAGACCAGGTAACTGCCGCTAAGGAGAAAAGAGACTTCGTATGCAAACTTCTCTCCCCTCTTGTCCACGGTTAAAGAAGATGAAGGTTGACTCCAACTGGAAGGATTAGAGAGATTAAATGAAAAGAGAGAACTTAAAGAAAAGCATAGATTCCAAAAAAATCGAAGAGAAGAGGACAGAAAAGGAGAAATGGATAAATCTGTAGGAGAATATGAAGATTTTTAGGGCTCAGAAAAGAAGAAGAGGGGAGGAGGGGAGATTGCATGGGTGAGAGAGTAAACGAAGAGCAACTTTTTGAGAAAATTAGAATTAAAGAGAAAGAGAAGGTGTATGGTTGCCAGTGGGGGAAAGGCTGGAGAAAGATATAGAGACAGAGAGGTTTTGGAATCATAATCGGGAGACGAATGTGTGGGGAATCGAATTGGAGAAACTGAGGAGGGAAAAGGAATATGGAAATGGAGCCTTAAAAATGTAGTCTTCTACTCGAGGTGAAAGCCTAGAACGTTAACTAATAATTGAATGTGAAAACCAGTACTTGGAACAAACATGAAATAACTGGTACAGTACAAACACTGGTTCCCATCTCTAGGGCAAATCGAAGTAATATTCATCATTTAGAAAATATGTTTCAGACTGGAGTCAAAGAGATGTGTTCGAAGACGAAAAGTTCCTGGCTGGGGTTTGTACAGCCAAACTATTGCCAAGTGGTCACAAGTCAAACAATCACTTGTTACGCCTGCAGCTCTTATGTACTCGAGTACATCACGCCGATTCTCTCAATCTCCAGCACGAGTATCAACATACCTATGTACAAGCACTTGACATTTCACACAATCCCGCTGTTCCACTATCCCACTATTTCCTCACTCCCTCACTCCCAACCTCCCACCCTAACAAACAAAGACCTGCGGCCCGGGAATAGTATACGGGTTGCAACTTGCACCGCATAAAAATCATACGTAATCCCCGGATCCGACGCACCATAAACGCCCGGAATCGCCACCTTAACACTCGGACCCGTACTCGTCCCACTCCCCGTTATCTGCACTTGATGACAATTGCACACCAGGGTATGCCCACGCTTTTATGCAGCGCGATGATTTCATGACGTACGATAGGAGCCGGAGGCTAGACAGGAAGGATTGGTGTAGGAATAGGAGTTTTCCGGTGTCACGCATCACCTCCTTGGCGACATTTCGCTTATACCAATGTGTGAGCGAAATTATGTGATATTTCCAGATTATGGGATATGAGTGTGACAAAGGCGATTTGTTGTCTTTGGATTGTTATTGTTCCATGTGAGGTTAGAGGTGGAACTTTGCACGTTGTGGAATCTGGGGTACAGTGTACATGGTTGTGGCTTTGGATGTGGATGTGCTACTCGTGCTGCCAGTAAGTCTAAAACTCCGAGAGCTAAAAAATGAAGCGAAACCTTAAGAAGGGGGGCAGTTTAACCAATAATATCAATCAGAGAAGATGATTTCCAGTATTTTGAATACCCCTGAACCAGAAAATTAGGTATCGATTGTTCAAATTTGTGTGGAAAAGAAAACTCTGCAAAAATTAAACACGGGGTATCTAATATTAAGGGCCCACTTAGCGTTCGGAGTTTTAGACTTACTGGCAGCACGAGTACACCGATGAGTGTGTGGAGATTGAAAGTTCGTTGGACTGGTGATCCTAGTATTGGTGTTACTAAATTGTTTTGGATTAAGGGGGCGTCCGTCTTGTGTTTCTCGCTTTCCTGAGCCACATTCTGGTGATCAGATTGAGTTATGGCTACCTTTCGATTTTAATGAGCTCTTGGGTCCGCATTTCAGTTTTTCCACTTAGGCCACTGACACTGACTTCTTATGTGAATAAACGATCGACTGAGCAATGAAAGGATTAAATGTCTATGGTCTAAAATATTCTTTTAGCAATACAAGTGGAAATGAAACGCAAACTGAAGTCCGAAAAATATTATGTACCATCGCAGCCATGATAGCAATCCTGCTTGGGTATCTGTCGCGCCGCAAATGCCACTGGGGAATATAAACGAAAGGAAAACATGTATAGATCACAGAGTGATCGTATACCCCTTTCCACTCCCGTTTCTCATCTCTTCCACTGCATATGGCGTCTTTTCTTTCTCATCTTATCTCATCTTATCTCATGAAATCGTGTATTAGATCTTTTTAAATAACCCACCCTCTACATACTTAATCACGAGAACGAAAATACCACCAGCCAAGACCATAACACCACTGAAGTCCGCAACTTGGTCGAAGGAATGGTAATGGACGACAAGTGCACCGTTAATTGGTGGACCAATCAACGCTGCAAATCCCGTGACAGCCATACCCATTCCCATATAGGTTCCTATGTTTTGTGGGTTCTTCGGAACAGTTGCGAAACACACAGTTAGGAGGGACACGATTGCTCCGGAACAAAATCCATAGATTGCCGCGAAAACGATAATACCGGCGCTAGATGTGATCCTTTGCCAACAAAATACCAGAATTCCCGTGGAAATGCCGACACCACAAAACATGTTGAGTCGACCAACTTTATCGGCCATGACACCAGGAATAACCCGACCAAAGAATGAAGCACCATTCAATATCGAGACAAGGTATGAAGACAATTCCGTGCTCATTCCATGCTCAACGGCATAAGTTGGGAGATAGAAGATGGGAATAAATACACCAAGAATCATCAAGAAAGCCGAGATGAGTAAAGTGATATAAGGAAGTTCCTTGAATGCTGATGGAAGGAAGAATGACTTTCTTCGAGAAGGTAAACGTGCGCGGATGGCCGTGCAAGAAATTCCAAGAACCGCAAGCATGATAAATCCGATGATCCGAACCGTCCAGCCGAATCCCAATTTTGGATTGGCAAGCATTTTTGCTAAGGCAATGGGGAATACAACTCCTCCGACTGACGATCCAGCGACTACGATACCCATTGCCGCCCCTCGCTTTTTATTGAAGTATTGGCCAACAGATGTCATTCCAGGTGACATGGTCATACCAGTAGCTATTCCGCCGAGAACTCCTTGGGCAAGCATGAATTGATAATATTCTTTGCAGAGACTGGTCATCATGACGCTAAAGACGTATAGAAGTGCGGCAGGCCATATTGTTTTCCCGCCATAGCGATCGAATAGTGGGCCACCAACGGCACTTCCACTAAAGAGGAAGAATACCTGGAGAGATCCGATCCACGATATATCTGAAGGGGTTCGATGGGAGAGTTGATGGGTTTGATAGTATTCTTGGTATACACCTAAGTGAACAGTTAGTTATCGTTGTAACTGTTATACAAACTTAAGACAATTGAGTGGGGATTTCGGCAGACTTACCAAAAGCATTGATATATCCAAATGTACAGAACAAAACTCCTGCAGCTCCAGCTGCCACTGACCAAGCTCTCAAACCACCATCTGGAAAGTCCATAACAAAAGCATTTAGCTTTTCGCTTTGACTTCGGCTTTGAACTGCTAGTGTTCCGCTCTCGGTTTCTCCTATCTCAAGCGACCTCTCGATATCGATATCGACATCGGAATCAACGGGTATGCCATTGTTTGTGGGGTCATGGTTGTGGGTTTTGGCGGTGGATTCCATAGTTATGCTGGATCCTGGATGGAAAGACGCGGGTAACAATAGTTTTGTGGAGCTGATAAGTTGATGAAGGGAACAGGGATGTTGTGTAATTATGTCGACAACCAATTCTGTGTTGAATAGATCGAAATTATTGATCTGAATGTAGTTTTTGGTTTTTGGTTTTGGTTTTGGTTTTAGACATTCATTCTATATATCTATCTATGAAATGGACAGCAAGTTTCTGTAGCACAAGTAAAAGAATCTTCACACGGGAAATTATTAAATCCGAAAAGAGCGAAATTCGGAATTTTATATGATTGGATGTAATGATTAATTAGAATGTGGCTTTATTAGTCAGACACTAACTTCATTTTCTAACCGGCTTTTTCGGGTAAAGAGCAATCATCTCCGAAATCTTAATAATATGAATCCGCTTATATCCGTTTCCATTAGTTGTATCAACACATTTCCCTCTTTATATTCTCGTCTCGGTCTTTACATCTCTTCTTCTTCAATAATTCAATTGAATATCCCGCCATAAATCCGTACAACCACAATACCTTTCAGTCTAGATCTACTTCGAGACTGTTTAATCACCTACGTATTGACACGGTAGTTCCTTGTATGAGTTACCTTCGCCACAAGTAGCTCAATCCAGAACTGTTCCTCGTGATGGACATCAGTTCCATCGTCTTACAGAAGTCGAAGATGGATGGAGATGGAGATTCTCCCCCACCCCCTGGTCAACCTCGAAAACGTCGCAGGCCAGCCCTATCCTGTATACAATGTCGACGTCGGAAAATAAAATGCGATCGGAATATGCCATGTGGTCAGTGTATATCATCCAAGACATCAGCTTGCCAATATAGCTCCGATCCAGCTCCCCAGTACAAACGATCCCGCGTTAATGGAAATGGTCTATACCCTGTTACACCTTCAACTGTGGATCAAGACAGTCTTGGAAGTGCTACCAATGCATCACCCAACGTTGGTGGTGTTACTGATGGTATGACCAATAGGATACCCATAGTTTCTAGAACCCTTTGGGCCGATAGCACACCTATTATTGAAGGGCCACTACCAGTTCGAGGACAGGCCGTTGTACAATATGAAAAGACTGCAGACCCATCTGTACAAGCTCTTTTGAACAGAGTACATAAGTTAGAACAGATCATATCTGATTCCGATGCTCTGAATTCTGGCCCAGGTCTAATCAGTTCTTCAATCGTTAAAGGACCAAGCCTAAGGGGTAGTCTGTCCAAGACCAGATTCTTTGGACAGAGTCATTGGATGAATTCATTTGAGCAAGTATGTCAATCTATTATAATAATTTTACTGAACCATCAACTTTCCATGGTTATAACTTTCCCTTTTTACCCTTACCTATCATATTTTTTATGCACTTTGTTTTCAGTCACAGTACATCTCTCAGTCAAGAACACCACCTATCTCAATCATCACCAACTACTCTGATAACTGCTAATATGTTTTCAAGTTTAAACATATGTCCAACTTCAAAGAGCTTGGACCGCTAGGCAAAGGCGGGGAGGTATTTGATCTCTTGAACAAATGCAAGGCATTGGGCAGAAAGGCAAAAGAATATCAAAGTGCTGAATCATCGATACCTAGTGGTTATCGCGATTTTGTCCCGGAGAAAGAAATATCTGACCGTCTCGTGAATGCATATTTTCGAACATTCGAATCCGTTTATCGCGTATTACATATCCCTACATTTGAAGAGGAATATGAATCATACTGGAAGAATCCCGCTGCAGCGAGTATGGCTTTTGTCATAAAATTGCTCCTCGTGATGTCCATTGGTACATGTTTTTACGAAGATCCTATACTTCCCACTTCTTTATGTCCTAAGGCTCAGCATTGGATTGCTGCAGCTCAAGCCTGGGTCTCAGCGCCATCGGAAAAGCATCGACTCAATATTGTTGGTCTTCAAATACATTGCCTACTTCTTATAGCTCGTCAGGTAAACTCGGTTGGCGGCGATCTTACTTGGATTTCTGCCGGATCCGTTTATCATTTAGCCATGTGTTTGGGCCTTCATCGTGATCCGGTACACTTTCCCAAAATGGGACCATACCATGCGGAGATGCGCCGGCGACTTTGGGCAACGGTTTTGGAACTTTCCCTTCAATCCAGTCAAGACCTTGGAATGTCACCGTTGATAAGTATACAAGATTATGACACTGAACTACCAGCAAACATCGATGATTCAGACATTAGTGAATCCACCAAAAAAGTACCGACATCAAAGTCAGTAACGACTTTCACTCGATCTTCTATTCAAATTTCTCTCATGAGATCTTTCTGTACGAGACTCGAGATAGCAAAAGCCATTAACAGTTTTAGAAGCGAGACTTCATACGAAGAAACGCTACGCCTAGGAACTACGTAAGCGTTCCTTTTAAAACATCTGTTGTTTTGTGACGTCTGTCATATGCAATCATATACAGCTCTGTTGGTAGCATCAATTATGCGGTACTAATCATTAAAACTCTACTTAGACTCTCCACAGCTAGTCGTTCCAGCTCAGCATTACTAAAGTCCTTCCTCACATCCAATTCTGAGACAAAGCCAACCCCTTTTCAAATTAAGATTCACGACTTCTTCACTACTCATTTCCTGTTAGCCTTACACAGACCTTACTCAATTAAAGCAAAGGTCAATCCCACCTATTATTTTTCTCGAAAGGTTTGCCTAGAGACATCTTTATCTCTACTTGCACCAGCCATATCACTTCCAGAGCAATCAAAATCATCCCAGCATGATGATTGGACTCTGCTCACCTGGACTGCATCCGGTCTGACCAAGGGAAATTACATTCATGCATATATAGGCCTTGGACTGGAATTGAACCAACAACTCGAGGAAGATCCTCCGCTTCCGCTATCAATCGTTGCACCACCGCCTCAACAGGTAGAGATTCTACGAATATTAAGTGGTGGCCGTGATTGGTCTACTAATAGAATAATGAGAGGCGATACCAATATTAAAGGACATCTTTTCATATCATGTCTTTGTGGTCAAATTGAAGCGTTGCAGAAAGCTACCTCGACGGAAGAGGGAATGATAACCGAGGCACGGAAGAGTGTTGAGCATTGCTTACAGTTGATGAAAGATAAGCTCAAGGATCAAGAAGCAAAAATAAACGCCGAAATGGATCGTAATCTATCCTTAGATGCTGGTCTTGATGCCGTTGATTGGAATGCAGTGGTAAGTCCTTTAGATTTGAATGGCGATGATGATGAGCTTATACCTTACAGATGCAAGATCCAGCTGTGGGCTTTGAACTTCCAGATGAATGGGTTTTCTCTGGATGGGAGGATTGTAATCTTTGGATTTAAATGGCCACTCTGTTGCGTTGTACGATTAGCTGTATGTTAGATAGAACTGGACCTTTTGTGCGGTGTGCAAATCTAGACGCCGGAATGATTAACTACTTCCATCTTCTTGCATTACTTTTACAAATATTATTAAAGTTGCTATCAACTTCAAAATCTTTTGCAAGAATTTCTAGCTAGATGGAGTACCCCAATTCTTTATCCCCACCAATATATACACATGTTAGTACCCTCAGGTTAGTGCGGGAGTCCAACCACTGGCATTGTTCAAAATTTATCGGATTACAGAGATAGGAGATCCAATTAGAGTCTGTTCAACTTTCGTAGCCTCAGTCTCCTCTTTGTATCCGAATTCTGTCTCCAGATTACTCCTCAGCTCAATATCTTGCACGAAAAAAGATACCAAAAATCCGAAGATTGCAAACGCAGACCCCACCTCCCACACCAGCTTCAAACTGGCCACGAATAATCTCACAACTTGCACTTGTGATTCTTCGGGCAGGGATATGATAAATGCCCTCGAAGCATGCTCGTACGCACCTCCAACTCTCAAGACTTCCTGTAGAGCACGATCGTCGATGCTGTGAACCATGCTTCTGAACTCGGCTTCGAAAATGCTCGATGGTATGGCTACTCCGCAAACAAATCCGAGACTTTGGATAAATCCCCATGTTGCGGTGGCAGTTGCCACATCGGACTCTGGAAGCGGTGCTTGTATGGCGGGTAGAGTAGCTGTAAGCACAATTCCAGCGCCAGCCGCGAAAATAATCTGGAGTATAACCCAAACAGCTGTCGAAGAATCTTGGTCCAAAATACTGAAGCAGCCGATCGCAATGGCAGCCAGCGCAAATCCTAGGATTTGATTGAGTTTATAATGACCGGCCTTCGCGATCAAAATTCCCCCAACGATGCCAAATGGTACCATTGGTATGGCTGCTGCGAGCGTGTTAATTCCAGATTTCTGTGGAGAATCCTTCATGACGGCTTGGAAGTACACGGGTAGAAAATAGCTGGCCCAGTATAAGAGTATTCCGTGGAGGAATGTGAGCAGAAAGGCTAGAGAAGATGTTCGGTGGGAGAATAGTCGTAAGGGTGTTGTGGGTTGCGTGCAGAACGACGAGCTTTCAAAGAACATGTAAAAAGGCAGAGCGATAAACCCCAACAATAGAGGTACCAATCTTTGCCAGGATCCCCAAGAGTTCTCCGTGCCGGTACCAGATAACGCAATTAGAATCGAGGTAATTGCTCCCATTAATAGGATGTTACCAATGTAGTCGATTTTTCCTAATTGTGACAAGATAGGACCAGAACGGACGTGTGATACTCAAAAGAATAAGATCACAGAGAGTAGAGCCAGTCCTCCAATGGGCAAATTCAGCCAAAACATCCATCGCCATCCAATATGTTCGACCATTGAGCCTCCAATTCTAGTAATTGAAGTAAGTATATTAGCATTCGAAACCGAGGGTAGTTAACAACATCAATTCATCCACCCGGTAGAAGTAACCGAGAACATTGATGACAAGAACAGTACTCACACCGGCTCAATAAAAGTCCCAATAGCAAACGGTCTATAAATCAACCCCGTATATTTCTGCCGCTCCCTCAACGACACCAAATCACAAACCACCATAGCCGGTAAAATGCTCAAGCCGCCTCCCCCAAGTCCCTGCACGGCACGTCCACCAATCAGCATGCTAGTCTCATTGGCACCAGCACATATACCGCTGCCCAAGAGGAAAATGCATATTGCTATTATGGTAGCATGTTTGCGCCCCAGAATATCGGCGATTTGTCCGCAGAATGGCTGGATGGCGGTAAAGGTGAGGGTGTAGGCGTTGATTATACATATGTAGTTTGAGGATGAATCGAGGGAGGCGGTGATGGTTGGGAGCGCGGTGGATAGGATGGTAGAGTCGAGTGCACATAGTGTAGATGCGAGACATAGGCCGGGGAATATGGCCCAGAATTTCCAGCCGTGGCGAGTGGTGGTGGGGGTCATATTGGGGGTAAAGTTGGAGTTTCCTAAATGGAGGGTTGGAGCTTGCTCGATCATATTTGAATGTGATAGATACAGAAGAAAATGGCTCCCAGTGAATTTTAGACTTCAAATTGAATTGTAGATAATATGGGGGCATTATATTTTCTTGTAGTCTTGTCTTATCGACAGTCCAACTGAGAATAGATCAGCATCGAAACTAGGGAACTAATCTAATTGACCAGCCCTTGTGCGGCAGAGCAATGATACTATTTATAGACATGTTCCCGACATTCTGGTAGCAAACTCACGCTATGTGTTGGAGTGAACGGAACGGCACGGAAAGCATTCTCGGTAACGGGGCAAATCGCCGGGGCAGTGCTCAGTCCATCCATTCTGTGCCTCTTTCTCTACATCCCGCAGCATCTGGCGCCATTAAACTTGTCTTGAGTAGAAGGTACTGTACCACATCATGCTCTGCGAAATCACGATTGGCCCATAATATAACCTGCATATTGTTTGGCCATGTTTTTCTTGATGAATAGTCTGCGATCAATATGTAAGATTACCTTCAGGTTATAGCTTTCAATAAAGCCGGCGTTTCAGTAACCCATCTAGAAATTTGGCTATTAGTGACATGTACACTAGTGGAAGTGCAAAGTACGAAGCTATACGTACCTATCCGTGTAACCTTGGGACGCTAGCCGGAATTTGCTAAAATGTGCATAGGGCATTTTTTTTGGGAGGTTTGCGTTTCTCTAACATCCAGCTCGTCCCAATGAAGGTATGCTCCTGGCAGTACTGTTTAGAAGTCAGTCAGTCTGTATGTTCTGGAGTTCGATTCTCGAATTACTGAGCTTTGAGATGAAGTTCTGTAGAAGTGGAGCAGGGTTTTCATTTCGGATAGACAGATTAATCCTGCCAATATGAATAATATCTTGTTTCTCAACCAGATATTCTGTGACCCGCTTCAGAGCGTTGTGTGTGAACAACCTCACGTTCTCAGGCAGCTCAGATTTGGGTGGAAAATGAGCGTCAGAAATGTCGAACCCATCGGGCTGGGCTTTCGGAAGAGAGTGGAATAAATACAAAACCCACATTCTACCACACGTTGATGTGGAGTTTTACATTGGTGCGTATGGGTTCGTCGAATAGGGTGAACATACCCAGTTCCACAGGCTACATCGATGACTTCTAAGTCTTTCTTGCTGGTCGGTACTGCAGGATGCAGTATGAACCCCGTCTCGTAATGGCTCATTTATTGCTGCAAGTAAAGCCTTCCGTACATTTTTCAAAATCACATTGCTGTTTTGGAACTTGACCTACATTTCTTGCGGCTGTCTCATTATTTTGGCTGAATGCAAGGACTTCTTCAGACATGTTGCTTGTTCAATATTACTACTTGACTCAAGTCATATTCTGATTTTCTAGAGTAATAAGTGGCCAGATTATCTACTGTATATGATGATTAGAATCACATGCAGCAGAACGATGCTATTGGATTTCGCTGTTTGAGGGAGGGAAATAGCTTTAGGTAACCTACTGTAACAACTACTCATTGCTCAATATACCTTCCTAGTCGTCTGAATGAGAGGTGCATCTTGCGCTTCACGTATCATGCACGTATCTGCAGTCTAGTACTACGCGAATATATCGACTGATAGTTGCATTCCTTTCTAGTAGGAAACTTATTGTTTCCTTTATGGATCTAATTCACTCAACCCTGGAGTAATCGAGTAGTGATACCACAACTACGCAGGGGTAGCTTTATAGAAATCGCAACATTGGTGAGGTTGTAGTATTAAACCACTGATAGGGAATGGATGGAGAGTTGTAGTATTAAACCACTGATAGGGAATGGATGGAGAATTCCTGCCGAAATAAAACCTGTTGGCTGTGTTTTGTTTGCTACTGCAGTTCGTTGGTGCTTCTGTGGATAAATTTTTCGTCTTTATATTTCACAGCGGCGTGTTATTCACGCCAATCGGATCACTTCGCCGCAGCATCGCATATGAAACCAACTACTGTAAGTGTTGTCACATATGAAGTCTTGGCGTGGCGTGAAATTTATAATTGATATACGAGTAGTGAGTAGCGAGTAGAGTCACATCCCAGTATTCTTGTTGGTATTTTCTCTATGCAATATCCCGGTCTGTCTGGGATATACGATCGCTACGACCAATTTCTGATGTACTCGGCATTTTCACAAGTACTAATTGTGGAAATTTTTACGGGAGTGAATGGTATATACATACGCCGGAAGTTCAACATTCTTTCCATGTTGCAGCTTCTGAGATGAAATTGAAGCAAGTTCAAGCGGTAGCTGTCTATAATGATATGCCTTAATTGGTGCAACATAAGCATTTGTGTTTGTTTCTCACTTCCAATACTCGAAAGCCAACGGCAAGGACCAATTATTGGTAGGGGAAGATATAGATGTATCAAGATAGGATTCGGTGTCTGGATTCTGCCACATAATGAGTTTCGGACTTCGTCTTGATAAAGATTGTAATAATTAAATTGTGAAGAATTCTAATGTCGTTTTGTCACGCAGCTTGACCTACAAGCTCAACAATCCATGCTTCGGTGTCGGATCAACGATATGCGTTTGAATAGCGAGAGCGAAGGCCGGTTTAATATGGGATAGAAGAAATTGAAATACAAGGTCAAATTTCCTGGTTTCCTATGTAGAAATATAAAGTACTCATGAGACAAGGCAAAAAGGCAAGGAAGGAACATGTGTTCGAGAGATATTAAACTATCGCATCTGTCAAAATCAAAGGCAAGATCTTTAAAGTAAGAAAGTCTCTCTAAGTTCATCCCTTACACGGTATGTCAAATTTCCAGAGGTAACTGGAACATGCATCAGACAATAGAAATGGTCTTCCCCACACTAGCTTTGGATTCAAGAATCTTCTTCACTTGATGCTGTTCTATGGCCTAGCGAATGGGCATGTGGGAATTCCGCCGCGATTAGTAGGCTGATGAAGGTTAAGTTAGGTTGGCTGAAAACGCATCAAGAAGGACATGTATTAAACTCTTAAGCATCGGGGAATACTCACCGGTAGGGTATTTTTTTTTGTTGGTAGGTATCCTGGACATCGGATACATTCTGATAATCGAGATCGGTTTTCCCGAATATCATGTTTTTCTTGAAAAGGATATTCTTTTCGAAGACAAACGCTAGAACTGTTAAAAATCAAGTAAGACATCGGTCCTCGGCCTGGTCTTTGAAGGAACGTCAAACACGTCAGCCTTACGATCCATCGGTAGTCATCCATTCAGCTGCGTCAATTCCAACTTGTTGCCAAAGTCACACTACTCTTGTACCACAAACCTTGTAAGCGCTTCCGCAATCCTTTCCTTGCAACTTATATGCCTGGCTGGGTGAATGATTTATGGTATGGTACTGACCTGCAGTTACAGTGAAGATATCGTAGCCTGACTCGCTGGCCTTGATGAACTTTGTTGCATGTCTCTATATGAGGTTCTATTAATATGGTTTTTCAGAGGGTAGCAGAGACATCTGAGTCAGGTGAATTTAGTTTATATGTCATGGTTTTTGAGATTCGGATATCATTATCCAGTACCGATAAACGGATAGATAACCAGAGTGGCCAATCAGTCAGCTAGCTGACAGCGATGGCTGTTAGCTTAAGCCATTAAGCTAGAGATTCAAAATATCATCAACTATTCAGCGGGGGAATACTCCAGCTGACAACTAGCTTCTGAACTAAAAAAAATGTAATTTTATTGATTTTGGAGGGGATTTGAGGTATTTTTGAAAATGTTTTGAAGGATGAGGAGGTGGTATTGAAGGGGAAGGTGTCGAAGGGGAAGTGTATCGAAGGGAGGTGGTATCAAAGGGAGATGTGGTACAGTATTGAAGGGACAGGTCGTATTGAAGGGGGAAGGTTTCGAAGGGAGGAAGGGGAAGGAGGGGGTGGGGGGGGGTAATCGAAAAAAAGGATTCAATATTTTATTATTATATAAGAATCACATGCTAGCTGATTAGCAACTGATCTGTGATATTAGCCATTCAGCAGTGACTACGATATATCGTTAGCCATACAACTGGGAATTGAGGGTTCGTTAATTGCTGACTGACTGACTGATTGGCCACTCTGTCTACTCGAGCAAGATAACATGAGGAACTAATTGGGAAGATGAGATCCGCAAAAGATGCAAGCCGTCTTGGATTGTGAGTATGTTGAAGGGTTTTTGAGTTATCAGTGAGACTCCCATTGAAGTCACAACACTCATCATGACTTCGATGATGATTCATATGCCCACCTATTTTTTCCCACACTTCCCCCTCATACCAATCCTAGGAAGTCTTCCACCTAGGTAATCTATCCATCCACCCGGAATAAACCACTTGAGTCAAAGCTAGCTCCAATTCTATTGTTTTGTTGCATGTCGTATTTTGAGGCTCTAAAAATAATTTGACTTCTCCCCTTCCTTCTCTGACTTTTGGCTCTAGTTATCCCCTACGTTCCCCAAGCGAATCTTATACAAGATAAATTTAGAAATCTAAAAATATGAACTTGGATCCTATGTCATCATACAGTCGAGGGATTTCCGATTTCGTTCAAATAAGCGCCTGGGTGGAGATGTCAACGGAACGAAAGTGGGATTTGGAATGCAAGGATCTGTGTCCTAATATTTGAGTATGCTGGTTTTAACAGACAGCTCGGATTATCGATATAGGGATGATATCCTCAACAAATCCAATAAATTGGAATGCTTCGAAAAAAGCAATTATCTTAGGCACCAAGAAAGAATTTCCTCTCTAAAATATTAGTAGTACATTTTGGAGTCCATCCAGCACCAATAATATCTGAGACTTATTGGCTGCGTCTCGAAGATCTGGAAAGCAACAGAACTCAATGAACCGAAGGAATAGTTCTTTGAAGGGCCCCCGTTTGAGGGGGTGTTTGGTGATCTACATAGTCTCAATATTTAAATATTCAGTAAGTTAAAATGAACAATTTCAATTATTTATATAAACGATTAAGGGTTAGCGATGACAAGGGTGTGAAGAAGAGGTTCAAGTGTGAAATTCATAGTACCGTATACTTTTGAAGAATTCGGATAAGCTATTTCTCTTGGTATAGGGAAAACTGGATCAAACCCCACACATCTCGACTTAATATAGTAGTATAGTTGCCGATCAGTTGAAGGATTTCTGCCAATAGGAATACGAAATTTAGGCCTGTCAGAATAACCTTAACTTCTAGCTTATCCGAATTCTTCAAAGGGCCCGGGAGTGCGGGGGTGGCAATTGAGAGGTCCGGGAGGGGGTGGCCATCGATATCGGAGGACTTTTTAGCTTCAAATATCAATACATGAATTTCCAACATTCTTGGAATCTTTGATATTCAATCCAAATAATTGTAACATCCTACATTACACTACAATATCTTACACCACGCTCACCACGCTCGACTACCGGCTAAGTGTGCATACGAATTAGAAACTGCACTGTACTGTACTGCACTACACTCACTGTTCAGGCCTTCGTGATTACCACGAAGTAATCAATCCGTCCCGTGCTTTTTCAAAATTTGCGCTCTCACGTCTAACTTACCAATTTCTGAGCCAGGATGGACGACACTAGGCATGAAAAAGAGACTGATGCTAGTGAGTTAAATCCATCCCCCTATGCAAACTCATATTGGTATTCTAGGAAGTGACATCAAAGCAGAAGAATCGATAACAGTATTTGCACCAGCGAGTATGACCGCTGAACCTATTTCAAAAAAGATTGGCAGCGAATCACTCAATATCACTGGGAGCAGCACCTATGGTGCCTCTAATGGTAATTCCAGCAGCGATTCCAGTATTTTAAGACTGCAACCACTTGCTTCAAAGCATAAATCAGATCGCCTCTTGAATACCTCTGAGTTACCCCGGACTTTTCGCCTTAGCACTGGGCGCATCATCAGCATTACTACTCTTGATATAGCCCATGCTCTTTGCCAGCTGAAGTACAAGTATCCCAATGACAAAGTGGAGCTCGTCTTTACTGACAATGAGCCACGCTTCAAATGCCACGATTGTACAGTGCAGCTTTTTGAGGTCTCTTGGTTAAACCGCTTGACCGCTAACATTGGAGCTCACCTTGCAGGCGCCCATCATGCGTACAGAGTTGGGAGCAGGATGACTCGTAATGGTGAACAGCCTATACTAACAACAGAAGTAAAAAAACAGGAATGAAAGGCTTCATAGGATTAGAGAAAAAGACCCTTCCAGCTCGCGATGGACATGGTTCCTCGAGGAGAACCAACCACCAAAGCCTCAGGATAGCTCCATTGCTGATGCTCATAATTCGAGAGGAGCGCTTTCCGAGAGAATTACTAACCCCGGACCTTCCACAGCTTCTGGAACCTCCATAGATCCTTCTCGGGCCCATGCAGCGACTAAGCGGCCATATCCAGGAATTGAATCTTTCGATTCTAGCGTCAAACGAACCCGCTTGGTAAGTGTATGCAATTACTGTAGCCATCGATGAGCTTCCACAGTTATTGAAATGCCGAATTAAACACTGATTGAGATTTTTTCTAGACGCAACATGACAGCGGCCCTGTCTATCAACCAAGGAAAATTCACAGTGAAGAATCCTCGGATGACGAATCGCAATCCGATGAAGAATTATCTGGCAATCGAGGACAGCCTAGATACGAATATGGCCAGATGCTAGATGATCATGGTGCTGCGAGTAAACACCAAGAAGAAGCAACAGAATCCATAGATAATGGGACAACCGATGCTCGTGTTAAAAAACTAGAAACCGAACGGGATATTCAACAGAGAACCATAGCCAAATTGTACAAGAAACTCCACAAGCAACGAGAGATTGCTGCTACCCAGCAAGAAGTACTAGAGTATTTGGTAAAGGAAGACACAAAGCATTCTGAAATGATGGATTCAAATCGTCAGGCTCTAGTTACCGCCAATCAGAAGTTTTCAACCTCCCAGGACAACCACAATACTCAGATGCAACGCCTCAACGGACGCATCCAACATCTTAGACAGAGTTGTGAAGCCGTGGCTGGTCAGCACAGTACTGATCTTGAGGATATCCGTAAGCGTTTGCAGATCTTAGAAGATCGTGATTTGGGCGGGGAGGATGATATACAAGGACGAGCTTCTCGACTAAGGGAGCAAATCAATGGCGTAGAGCCCGATAACGAAGTGGATGACAGTGAATAAAACTTCGGGCCTAGTTTCGGACTTATCGCGAGTCACAATGTCAGTCTTATACTCGAGTAGTCAGTCATATATATGCGAGCAAATGTACAAACTCAAATGTTTCCCTTGTGCCGCTAAATTTTTATCTTCAGGGGGCATAGATATGATGAGATGGTAGTTCCATCGGCAACCGGCGCCGATGGCTATCCCAGTAAATTACCGATGAGGTACATGCAAACAGGACATTATACAATCAATATATACCATAGTCTCTAATACATTATTAAGTGTTTGCTTTTTTGTTTGCTTTTTTGTTTGCTCTCCCATCACCACACTCTTCTCCACTCCTGTTCTCTCACTACACTTGTTTGAATTCGAATCTTTCCACTTCTTTCTCTTTTTATCTCTCATTAGAAACAATCCATTTTATTCTCTGAAGTGAAAAGCACAATTAAAACAATCTTTGACCACTATCATGTGTCGAATCAAATTTACAAACACTATCAGCAAACAACCATCAGGTAATTGTGACAATGCCGTGAATCGCGTTCAGTTGAACGACTGTCTTACATTAACGTTTTTCAGGAGAATCTGACCAGTATCGCCGAACCTATACAGACTCTCAGGTTAGGGATGATCATAGTCGCCCTGATTTGGACGACATGGTGGATTCGAACGGGGACAGCTCAGATTCAATTTCTTCGCTTTCGGACGACTCATATGCACCATCTAAAAGTCCCTCACCAAGTTTGAAGCCACAGCACAGCCCAAAACAGCAGAATGACATGCAAAATAATACAAGCGGTTTGGAAGACAGTAACGCACCTTCAAAGGTCATCATACATCCATCATGTGTGGAAGGAGTTGTAAGTCTTTTATATATTCGAATATCATCCGTATCACTGATGAACACACCAATCTGACTTTTGAAGGTCCCATCCTGGCACAAAGCCAAGGCTAAGATTCAAGCTATCGAAAGAGATTTCCCAAACGATTTACCCTACACCATCATGTATGAGAACAAACTTTTGGAGTTGATATGTCGAGAATGCTCTGACTTCCATGTATTGCTTGAAGGAACTTCCATTGGAAACGTAACGAATCATGTGACCAGCGTTGGCCATGGAATCAGAGTCAAAAAGAGGCTAGAATCCAAAGGTTTGGAGGAGACGTCAACTTCCAAGGTTGAGATCCGGACACAAAAGATCCGACGAATACAACAGCAGCATCGACCTTCCAAACAAGAGTTGACAAGAGTCAGGCCCATCGAATTATCCGATGAAAACTCTGATCTAGAAGTTGGGCCACGACGATCGAAACGCCGGCGAATAGCACCTGCGGATGGTCTTCAGGACGTAATTAAGAATCTCGACGAAGGGTTGCGAGACTCTCCAGCATTCTATACAGGCAAGGGGTATCGCACTACGATCCAAAGTCCTGTCCCAGTTCCAGAAGACATCACCACGGAGATTTTTCAAAAGTTTAAGGACATAGACGAGAGGTTCGAACAAGGGATGAAGGACCAGAAAAAAATGTCAATGAATATAGCCGTGGAGCTGAATGGATGCATCAATTCGAGTAACGGCAGGCTAGAGTATCTAGAGCGAAATCTCAGGGAACAAAAGAACCTAGCTACACACTCGAGCGCGTTGTATTCCTCATCCACAAAAATATGCCATGATGAAAACCTGAAATTGAGGGCAGAGATATACAAGGAAGCAAAAGCTGCACGACTGCACATGGAAACTACCCTGCAAAAACACAAAGAGGATAATGAGACCTTCAAAAAGAACATATCCGACTGTCAAAACACCACCGTGCAAAGGCTAAGCAGCTGCCTAGATCGAATTGTCAGTTTGGAAAAGACCTTGGTCTCTAAACCCGTCAGCAAACGACTTGTAGATTTGGAAAAAAGTGCTGAAGGATTCCAATCTTGGTTAGAAGAAATGTCTACTCTGGCGGCAGAGCGCACTGAGCAGCAGGAGAAAGATCACGGTGAGCTCCTCGAGAAGCAAGCATGCCAATCTCGAGCCTCCTCGAACCTATTTGACAAGTTGGAGAAATGTACCCAAGGATTCCATAAGAAGTTGGCGGACTCGGTTAGCCAATTCGAGAAGGAAAAATTGTGGCTGCGCCAAAAACATGAAGAAGCTTGTGCAAGAGAGATAAATGTCTCTGAAGCCTTCGTAGGTCAAGTTGTGAGCTTGGAAAATCATGCTGCCGAATTCCAAAAGAAGCTAGAAGACATGGATGGTCTACTCGCACAGAACCAATCGGAACAAGGCAAAAGCTCGCAAGCTATAATCAATAAAATCACTGGATTGGGAAATAAGATTAAGGGGTTCGAGAAGAAGCTGGGAGATGTGGCGATCGTAGTCGAAAATTGGCAACCGCAGCAGAGCAAAGAGGATGCAGAAGCCATCCAAAATCATGAGCAAGAGTGAAGCGCGCCACCAATCCACAAACGACCGAGTCACCAACATGAAGGAGGAACTCAAGGAGTTCGAGAAGAAGGTGTCTCATTCACAGATCGAAATCGATCGTGTTGACCGATTGGAGGACCAGGTCAAGACAATCGCAGCACGGCCGGAAGTGACAACTGAACGAAGTAGCACTTCTAGTGACTTCCAAATCAATGACTTGGTGCAGTCCAATAGGATGATGTTATTGCGGTTGTCTGCTCTGGAGGAGACAAATGAAAGACTAGTGCGTAAGATTGTGGAACTGGAGAGGAAGTGAGAGGTGGAAATGAGAAGTGGTGAGCTTGCGATGACCTGCTGCGTAGCTATTCGGTAGCAAGTATTTGGGCAAAAATTTGGGACTATTAGTGTGTTCTTTGGGAAGGTTGTGACTCATAATATTTCAGTATACCCTCTTCGCTGAGGTGTATCTGCCACCGAATTATATATCCAATGTTGAGGCAATGAAAGCAATTCGTACCATGATTTTTAACTGAGACGATTGCGATACTTGAAGATAATCGTCTCATTCACACAGGTCATATTAGTTCTTTCCATGGCTCAGTACTTTACTTCTCTCGTAAAGATTTGGACGTTGTACATTTACACCTTTCCTTCGTAATCCCTCTTCCAAATGGTATCCCAGACTCCCTTGTCCACGGCGAACTCCCTCACATAATCATGCTCCAGCTCATGTGTCCTCCTTCCGAGTAAGACCAAACTGTGTAATGGTCCTCCCAATTGTTCATCCGCATCACACAATTGTTTCAATGTCCCACTCACAAATTTCTCATCTTTACAACCCACTCGCGCAGCACCCACGCAAAGACTCTCTTCATTGTAGACACCACCCACTCCGTTCTCAGTCTTGATCTCTTCAATCTCCAACATCTGTGCCGCACACTGACCAACCGTCATATATCTCGGGGGCTCATATATCTTTCTTCCTCTAGCCATATTTTCCATGGTTTGCTCTTTGACCTTGATATCTAATAAAACCAGTGTGTGTAAACCGATATTCCTGTTCTCTCCAATACGATCATAGAATGAGGCAGGCTTCCAGTTCTCGGTGAAGAAGACCATAGAGACCGTTTGTCCAAAATTGTAAAGCTGGAGACCAGTAGCACCAATGGCAGACATGATGGAGGCATTAGGGATAGTGGAGATTGAAATATTTAGAGAACGGGCACGGAGGACGAGATCGGTGTGGGTTGTAGCTCTGAATTTTTAAGTCAGCATTCATCTACCTTCTCAAAATAGGAGGATATAGTCATGAAGGGGACAGTATACGAACCCAAAAGGATCTCCCACAACCAAAAATGCAACATCCACATTCTGAGCATCTTCCAAGATATCGTCACTGGCACTCTCCACCATATCTCTGTCCGCAATAATCACTTCTCGTCCATAGTAACTTTCCTATATCTACATCAGTCAGCGCCTTGCTTTTCGGGGACTCATAGAAGCACTTACAAGAACTGATTTGTCCACCAGCAAAATACTGGTGTAGGCCTCAAGATAAACTCTAGCGCACTTCTTGACAGCTGCGAGTCCTTTTACAGTAATATCTGTCTCGTCAGAGAGACCAAGGCCAATAAGGTAAAGCATAATGTCTTTTGTACTTGGATAACAATGTAGTGAAGGGTTCTTAGAACAATTCAAGAAAATAAAATTTCCCTCAATACCTACTCGAAGAGCAAACATCACTCACCGCCTTGGTCATCATGGGCAAGGCAAAATCGCAGCCTTCCACAAACTATTGAAAACGCCCCGAGCCCCTACACACGAAGATCTCTTTCAAAACCCCCGGGACAGTTTTTTTCGAGATCTTGAAAGTTTCAAGATTCCAAATCTGCAATTGAATTTGTACTTTTCACAAAAGCCCCAAATTTGTCTTCCTGGACAGACGTGCAACAAAAAACTTTTGAAAGAGAGTTGATAAGCTGACCCCAAGCTTGACCCCAAGCTCAGAAAATCATCTGGACAACAACGACAACTCCAGCAATATCTTACCATCCGTATCTTCGAAGCAATATCGATACTACCACATGAAACAGGGATCGCGATTTACCTCATACCAGCGAAGATCATACCAGCGAAGACAATCCTAAAGTCGCAACCATGGCCTCTAAAAAAGGTGCCTACGAAACTAACGCCTCCGACACCGATTTCCGCAAAAAATACGACCGCGAAGGAAATGTAGCAAAAGCACGCGAACAGGAAGCAAAAGAAAAAGAAGAAGGGCGTCTGCGGTATGAAGCCAAGCTCGCCGGCAAAAAATATTACGCGCCTCTTACCGGCGATGAAACCCTCACATCTGCGCGCGCAAGCCGTCTCGATGTATCTGCCAATATAGGAAAAACTATATTGATGCCTGCGGGGGCAGCGATGGGAAAGAGGGGAAAGGGAGCCGGGTTTTATTGTAAGGACTGCGATTTGACTTTTAAGGATAGTTTGCAATGGGTGGAGCATGAAAATAGTATGCAGCATCTGAGGGCGATAGGGCAAACGGGAGAGGTACAGAGGGCTAGTGCGGAAGATGTGAGGAGGAGGATTGACGAAATTTGGGAGAGGTTGGAGAGAGAGAAGAATCAAGAGGTGGTTAGTTTGGGGGAGAGGCTGGAGGGTAGGAGAATTGAGGATGAAAAGGAAAGAGAGGAAAGGAGGAAGAAGAGAAGGGAACTAGCGGAGAGGAAGAAGGAGGAGAAGGAGAAGGAAGTCGCGGTTAAGAAAGAATACGGTGAAGATGTTAGGGTGGACGGCGAGCATGACGAAGATGATATGATGGCTAGTATGGGGATTGTTGGATTTGGCTCGTCGAAAAAATGAGGATATCATATGTGTATATTGAAATTTAGCGACGGTGTTCAGGAGGGAGTACATTGAACCATCCCAAATTGTGAGACTTTGGATTTGTTCAAGCCAAATACATTATAATTATTTCCGACCCGGGATATTCGTACCCATTGCTCCTTAATGATGTGTGTGCACGCTGTACTAAAAATACAATACCTCCCGGAACCTCACGATCTGGTATTATTATTCATGACCGATCCATAAGTACTATCATCACCCCGAATATACCCTCTTCTGTCCATGCCTTCAGTCCCAGCGCCACCAGTCTCTGGTCGTACCGTCTTCCTCCTGAAGAAATCTCTGAATCCTATGCTCTTCAGCGTTCTTACCGGTGAATCCTCTATTTCAGTTTCGGCACTCTGCATTTCATCTGACAGATCAATAGGAGGAGCCCATCTTTCCTCATCCCCACAGACAACCACAAACCAACCCATTTGCTCCTTTGTCTCCAACTGTTCCCTCAATTTATCAAACCAGCCTGCTCTTTTGTTCTTCCTCCTGATCTCTCTTGCGCTCATTCCCAACTTCTCGGCATCGCAGGGAATGACTTCTTCTTCTTGAATCTTGTCTTCATATTTCTTTACCTCTTCGGATACACTAACACCCAATCCAACTTCAATCATATAGTCCGACACATAAGCCCATGGTTGACTGAGTGTCTTCAGGTCTTCCGGATCATATTGTTCGACCAACTTCACCACACTCCATTGATTAAATCGCGGTGGCTTTTCCACCCCTTGCAGCGCATATGAATTCTGATTCGTAGCTCCAGATGATAGACATCTACCATGTGAAGTTTCCGACTCCGGATTAATGAAATTGTTCTGTCCGTTCGAATTGGCATTCCTCAACGCTGGGCTCGACTTGTGTTTATGAGATGGTGATTTTAGGGAGATCATGGATCGTTTATCTTTCTTCGTAAGGGTTCGTGGGGGGGTTTTTGCGAGCGGAGGACTGGATTCTGTGGGACTCGGCTCGGGTGAGAGGTCAATTGGGCCCGGACTGCTTGGTGGCAGGAAATCGAATTTGGTGTAAAAGGAATTGAGAAGGGCATTCGAGGTAGGGGGTGCCATTACCCATTCTGAAGTTGCGTCATCAAGATCATTCAAAATAACATAAATGCGAATATTTGTTCGGTGCCAACGAAAACCATGGACGAGATAGGTAGGCATTTGAGTAACGGGTAACAGGGTGGTGGTGAGAAAGATGGATGGATGTGTGGATTTTGAGGAGACGACGAGGGGGGGGGAGGAGCTAGCTTTTAAAAATCATACCTGATGCTTTATCTGATGCTTTGGGAAAGTACTTCTGGGGAAATATTGGTAGAAATGCAAGGGAAATTGCGATTGATAATTTACCGGAGAGGGTACGAACGAGGCTTTTGATCAGCCTTTCCGGGGTTCACTAGGGCTGAAGTCTGTGCGACAAGTGATGTTGATGTATGATCTCTTGTAAAACACACAAATATGTCTACATCCATCATATCCTTATATTTTGGAGTCAACTTCACTCGATGTCGATTGACCAGGAGTAAACCTTTGATTTGGGGTGTTTTGAGTTATTCCTGAGTACGCTGTCTTAAACTGATACAGAATGACCCTCTCTCTTCAAAGACCCTATTCAAAGTGTCTGAAAGGTCTTTCTTTAATCTCAGAAACAAGCTCAAAGATTCATCTCTCCTTGTCTAAATTAGTTCAAGGCATTGCATTTAGTTGTGCTATTCTGTTTTGCCCTCTCAAACTACTTTAAACACTTGATATCATCTCGAAGGTTGAGCCTTCATTGTACCCTAAAAGTGCCAGCTGCACCAGTGAGTGTTAGGAATCTTTGCCATACAATGAAGAACAAATGTATTGCTGCTATGATCATGGTGCCATGACTTCATTAGCATCTTCTAGCGAACATCCGAGGTTACCATGGTGATGGGCGAGGCTATGAATACCTTCATATTCGTCTGATCAGGAGCTCGGTAGTTCCCGAGCTCACTGTATTAAAAACAAACAAATCTCAAAATTTCTTGTGATAAATTCATTCCAAAACGCCTGTACCATTCATCGCAACAATCGTTTTGTTATCAAGTTCTGTGGATTCTTTTTAGATTCTCTTTGGATTATCCTTGGATTCCAATCCAATTTCATTCAACTTCAATTTATCCCATCACAACACAGAGTAAAGATCATACAGAGACAGAGGCTCAAGCATACAAATCCACTGCTATTGAAATCCATACGCTTGTCCGTTCTTGAAGATGCCTCCCAATTCCACTCGAAGTACGGCGATTGAAGACTTGCTCGATTATATTCGTGAGGACTTTCCCAATTTCGACGCAACTCTTGAGATCTTGCAAGTGATTTTGGAAAGCGACCCTAGTACCTCGGCGGTAGCAAAGTCTTACCGACGTTGGTTATATATCAGTGTCATGCAGCAGGTCTTGACGTTGGGGGAGAAAGAGAAAGAAGAGTGGGTGGTCGACCTGTTCAGTGGCAATCGAAATATTGTAGAATCGTTTGCGGATACGATGTGCGAAGTAAGTTAATTCAGTGCTTGCGCAATTGGCCAAGTTTTGACATAAGTAGGACGGCTTCTGGACCGAGGAGGAAGATGAAGAAGGTATTCCTTTCTATGCTATGGATCGACAGAGAGAAGCGAACCTCTACACCTGGCTTGCACGGCCCGATATCCAGAGTTTCTACCAGGTCGAGGTGCTGAAATTTTGTCCTCTAATCATGAAGGACAGCATCGAGGGATCTGACCACATACCAGAGAAAGGGCCAAAGTGTAAGATATCGCCCTACTTTTATGTCTATACAATATACTAAGATTCCCATACCAGCAGCGTACAAGGTCGTCGTCCCAGATTGGCAGAAGGAGATCATCGCCACAAAGAGACAGCTCGCACAATCTCAATCCCTCGTTGAGGACCTAAAAGAACAGCTCGCACAATCTCAATCTCTCGTGGAGGACCTACAAGAACAGCTCGTACAATCTCAATCCCTGGTGGAGGATTCGCATGAACAAGTACATCGAGCCAATGAGATCATAGCTACTCAAGCCAAAGCCATCGATAGTAAGAATGAGCAATTGAAGGTGGCGCGTACGACTAAAGCACGATGGGAGAAGGCATGGATGAAGAGATACAAGAAGTTCTTCAAGCGTACGTGGAAATAGGTGATTTGGGGGGTTCTGGGGGTTTTGTGGAGATTATAGGCTATGAATTGGGGCTGGGGATTTGGTTTGGGGCCTGTTTTTGAATTCTAGCCAGATATACGTATTTCGTCACTTGTTTTTGTTAGAATATACCCCTAGGTTTTTGAATTATGAGAGTTCTGGATGGTAGTATATATCCTTGGTGATGCATTGACGTGTTCATATCTGGATTTTGTCAACGGTCAGCTTCGTACTCATCCCTGATTCTCATATTACACTTGTAACTGATTCGAGGATACTCAGCTATATTCCAGAATTTCTTGAACCTAAACCACACATTCATATCTTTCATCTTGATCTCTCTAATCCAATCACCACGAATATCCCAATCGAAAAAAAAATCAGAAACTACCTTTTGAAAGTCTTTAGAACGAATTTTCGAAACGTATTATTAAATTCTAATCCTTATCCGGTTATCTTCCGAAGACACTAATCGGACTCCGATAAACCAGATTTGAAGATAAAATGAGCGTTATTATAGTCTCATAAGCCTTTGATTACTACACTCTTAATGTTCAAATATATATTGGGTATTACAAAATTTCTCGTTTGAATATATGAGTATTAAGCTACTACTATACTCGAGTTAGATGTTGATGGAATATATTACGTTTTGTGAATCTATTAGGTGTATTGAGTAGTTTATTATCTACTTGAATAATTGTATTGTCTTATGTCAGCCAGTGCACAGGCCACCCCTTCAAAACTCAGGGAAAAGATCCGAGTTCCTATTGACGATATATTGCTAGCGATACATCAGTCCCTCGAGCCTAAAGCGAGAATAGGCACAGATTTCAGTCGCGCCACCTACACCATATTGATTATAGTCAGCTTCAGAAGGTCAGAATTCAGAATTCAGAGTTCAGAGTTCAGAGTTCAGAGGTTTAGTGCTCTAGAGCTTTGAATCTACCCCCCATTTTAGCTCAGAACTGAACTCAATGCACAGACCACCCTTTCAAAACTCTACGAAAATAATCTGAATGGCTTCAGATCATTGTCTAACAAGCTGGGCAGCACGAATAAATGTTAAGATTCTTTCAGGCTCTTAGTCTCGAAAGAACCGGGGCAAAGCTCGTTATATCATATTATGCCTTATGATTTTTTGTTCGATGTTCCTTGTATAAAGATTAAAAGGATGAGTTGCAGCCTGCTAGGCCGTGAGTGCTGAGGTTGTTGGTGATGTAACTATACTATAACTATAACAGCTGGCTATCAATTGAAGTAGGCGTGTCGAATCCAATCATTGCTGAACATGGGATTTGAACTCGAACTGTTTGTTGTTTCCGGATTGAATTTCATCTCATGCAACCACGCTCGACTATTGTTGTTATTTCCGCAAATCACTGAATTAACAATGGCCTCAATTCGTTCAGAGTCATGGGAGCCTCGATACGCTGTCAAAAATGAATATAGCAGGTGCGATTAGCGATTAGCGCAGGTCTATATAGCCTCACTTTCCACTATCAATAATAAGATAGCCCTCTTCACACCTACAACAGAATCTCTTTCAACGCATGAGCTCAAAAATATTGAATATATCAAAAATATTGAAACTATTTCAATTATTAAATACATTTGAAATAATGAATTACTTGAAATTCTTCAATTCTTTTCAGAGATTAAAAACATTTCGAACGAACATTGGAATCTCTCTAATTGGACTGCAGTCTGGGCTATTGGATACCCTGCATGAGCTCGTTCATCGTGTCTTCATCATCTCTTTGACGAGTCGACGCTATAATATTTGCGTCGCCATTGCCTTGTATCATGTTGTACAAATTGTTCAAAGCCTTTACTGTAGAGCGATCACAATTCCATAGTCCAAGTTCGATGTTAGCTCCTTCGTCACTTACCGCAGACCTTCTACCACTCTGACGGCGAATCTATTTTAGAGCATAACAGGGAGATCTCCCCCCGAATAGATTGAAATTGTTCTTTGGATGATGTCGAAATGTATCAAACCGGGGGGCTTTATACGGGTCCGCGGGAGTACGGATGTTCAAGTTCGGTCATATTATTATTCGGGTTTCGTCTATACCCGATATCATCGGCATGGAAACACCAGATGATTGGGGATGCTTGACATTGCCATACGATTATTCTCGGACCAGTGCTTGTCCAATGCTTTGATCTGGTCTACCCCATTCGTCGATATCGATGAGATGGAACCCTTACCCGAATGGGCCGTCCCATCGATTGAATAGGACATATACACAAAATTTAAAATTGATATCGACGAATAGGATAATTCTATTTGTCGATATCAACTAATAGAATTGCTTTTCTATATTTTATATAAAGATTTATTT